ACTAGAGCCCTTATACTCTGATATCCCTGCTACTGTCTGCTATGTTGTCAGCACCCCCAGCCATTTCCCACTACTTGCCCTTCTGGTGAATCTAGTCAGCCTATCTAGAGGTCTTTGTTTTAGGAGGGTCAGCTATTCCTCATCTAGCAGTATTCAGTTGTCAATATTCCTTTGGATATTGGATTTGGATTAAAATATTTTTAAAAAGAAACATTCTTCATGTGGTATTTTCATTGTTAGTATGATATTATAATTTGAAGCTATTTTATGTGTAATGAGAAGTATTTTTATTATTTTTTTGAAACCAGGATTTTTAGTGAAAGAGTTCAACAATATCAAAAAAGTTAGGAGCAAGCAAGATGTTGTGGCCCCTGCCTGTATTCCCAGCACTTCCTTTCCAGGTCTGCAAGTGCTTTACATCCCCAGGCTGAGGGAAGGCTAAGAAAGGAGAATTGCCAAGAATTTAAGGCAAGCCAGGGCTACAGAGTGACAGCCTGTCTCAAAAACAAAAGAGGAACAAAAATCCTGTATTCTTGTGAACTGCAAGTGTCACATGAATACATTATTTTTAAATTTAAATTTAAATTTTTTTAAATTTATTTTAATTTTGTGTGTATGAGTACTTTGCTTGCCTGTATGTAAGTGCACCCATGTCATGTAATACTTAAGGAGGTCAAAAGAGGACATTGGATCCCCTGAAACTGGAGTTAAGGATGGTTCTTAGCCACCTTATAGGTGCTGGGAACTGAATCCACTTCCTCTGCAAGAGCAGCCAGTGCTTAACTGTTGAGCCATCTCTCCAGCCCCAAATATATTATTTTAAAATATATTCATGTCTTAGTGCTGCTTCTTAAAGAGTCTGCAAGCAAAAATATCCCAATAACAAAATCTCATTAGCACACCTGTAATCCATATAGCAGGCTCTGGGGTGCAGCTCAGTAGTAATGTGCATATTCAACAAGTGATAGGTATTCCTAGGTTTGAGTCCCGGCACTGAAAACAAAGATCCAAATCACAATTTCTGAGTACTATTCCCCCACAGACAGAGAGATCTCCTACTGGGAATCCCTATTGTCTGAATGGGTCAACTCCAAAAGACAGACAGTATGATGAAGGAGGGGGCATTCTAAGTCAACATACAATAGAGTTATTTCTACATCTGTGTTCATTTCAAC